GAATGTTGCGTTTATCAAATGGAATACTGCAAAAAATCATGTAATGATGCACAGAACCGCCAAACAACGTATTGATTTCGAACATTACGCAATATCCAATTGGGGCTAGTAGTTAGAGTAAATAACATTCGATAAGTTGATAACATATACGATTGCTTTCAATTCCAAATGTTCGATCCGCAACGGTACGCTACATTTTGGTTTTGTCGAATCAAAATACGCTCATGTTTATGTCTTTTGTCTTTATGTTTCATACAGAACATAGGCTAAATATAGATGATTTTTTTTTTGCTTTTTTGGTTGAAGTCACTATAAGTCACACGGTGGCCTCCCAAATAGTTTTTATTCGTTCGCAATATTTTACCTGTGCATCTTATTTGCGTTGAGGCGTTTAGTGGAACCACATCAAAAAGGGTGAGCAAAAAGCTCATTTCAACAAATGAACAATTTTGACAGATAAAAGCCAATATACGATGTAATGATGCTGGTTCGGTAAAAGATTTACGTATTTCGATAAGCTTGCCGTGAGACAATGACGAAAGCAAGATCAAAAAAACCAACTTTGATTATCTTACACGTGCGGCAACGAATGAATTCACTCACTCATCCATCCGTGTGATTTCGGTCTTACCTTCAAAATGTCATATTTATGCAATGATAATGTTTCTTTCCCTCTTTTTCGCCGTTAAACTAACGACAACTATCAAGCATTTCCATTCACATTCATTTCAAACGAAAAAAAAAATTAACGAAAAATAAAATACGGGATCTTTTTTTTGTTGTTGTATATGAATGTACCGTTGCACCGATTCGACGCTGCAATTTGCAATCGTGATCACAGACATATGTAGTTTTTCGAATGGCACCGTTTCATATCTTGATGCGAAAAACTTTGTATATGTGTGAGCGTATGAATAGAACTTAGCAAATGTTAACTGCAACAAAGGTAAAAAAAAGATTCAACGTTTAGCCGCAGTAAACTTGCGCAACTTCAATTTGATCTCAATACAGCGATAAATGAAGAGAGGAATATGCAAAGAAGATGATGATTATGATGAAGAAGAAGAAGAAGATGATGAACAAAAAGAAAATAAATGTATCACACTCAGGAAAGTCGTTTTAAAAATTTCGAATAATAAAAGTTCTCGGCAAATTGGATTTTTTTTTCACTTTGATTCTAAGTTGTATATAAACACACATACACCTATACTGTGTACCATGGTAAAGCATCTGCTGAATTGGTGGTGAACAAGTGAACGAAAACATTGAGCTGCTATGCAAATGTAACGTTTCTTGTTGAAGGTAAACAACCTAGGAACCATGTTAAGAGAACTCACAATTTCTAACAATAATAATTTGTTCGTTCGTTCGAAATTCAACATAGAAATTATCGTTTTGCGCTCCATTTTTATCCTACATTCTACTCGACATTCATTCGGTCGCAATCTCATACGGTATACATATATAGCAAAAGCCAAAACAGTCAAGAAATAGTTTTTTCTCTTGTCGTGAATGGAAAAAAAAAAAAACGCATTGATGTCCGTCCGAGAGCACCGAACGAAAGAATATCTCTAACCATTTTTTATCTTTCCATTATTATTTCGTTTTATTTTATTTTTATGGTATTCTGAACGGAGAGAGGTAACATAAAAGCGAAAGAAAAAAAATCAGAGTGTGTTTTCTTTTTCATTTTCTTATGCTCTAACATTTGATTGTGTTCGAAAAGAGTGAACGAAGCTTTCGAAATGGTTGGAAAGAACAATTTTTTTTTAAAGAAAAAGGTGAGCAAACGTGGAATTCAGTGTGAAGATAGAGCAAAAAGTGAGAAGAAAGAGAGAGAGAGAAAAAAAAACAACGAATTGTAAATAGCATTAGCAAAGCAGTTAACACAAAGAACAAACCAATTGTGTTAAAAATACGTTTCACCGTTTCACCTACTTCATTTTACCGTTTTGCTACCGAACGGATATTTTCTTTTTGCTTCGCGTCTTTTACGCTACTTTTACTTACTATTCATGCCATTTGCCGATGGAATGGAGCCAGCTCGAAGAAAGAAAGAGTGAGCGAAATGAAAAGCAGGAGACACACACGTAAATAATCTTAAAGCAAACGAAAGATTGCACAAAAAAGTGAATCGACGACAGAAAGAGAAGAGAGTTAAAGAGGGAGATAGAGAAAATAACACACAGAGCACACAATGAGTCGACAGCTATTACCGTTACATAAAGAAGCCATAGCAAGCGCCAAGATACCAACTAGGATACCAAAGCATCGGACATTAGAAGAGAAATAGCGAAAGAGATCCAGAAAATGAATGTGGGTGTCGGCATTGCGTGTCTGTATTCACAAGTATACACATAATTTCAACACTCGTTTCGATGTGTTTTCTTTTCCTTTTCCTTTCCATTTTTAGTTGTGTTATTTTTGTTGTATTTTTCTTTTCTATTCTTCTTTTTAGTTTCGGCTCCTACCGCTCTGCTTCTTCTTCTTCATCACCATCATCGTTCTTTTTCTACTATTTTTTATTTCTGCTCCCAATTTTGTATAATATTTTTTTGCTTTGTCGGTTATCTTTTTCTTTCATGATGCTTGCCAATTCAATATATATACTGCACATATACACTTTCCAGCGTTGTAATTCTATCAGTGGTTTTTCTGTCACTCTATACGTTTTCATAGCCGAAACACTCTCTCATTTGATTGTACTTTCGCTAGACGAAAATTATATGGAAGAATGTGAAGAACAGCAAAAACTTACGTTTAATTTGAGCCCATCAAAATGAAGAACAATCGAATGCGAGAAAGACTTTTAATTTTGTTTAGCAATGTCATATCGGGTACACAACGCATCAGTCGCTCATGCTTAGGACACACGGCATGCAATAGGTAAGAGAAAAATCTTAAAAGTTCAAATAAAACGATCGAAAGGCGACGACAAAAACGACCGGCGCACAAGGTTATCTTATCTATACGGTAATTTTTTGTCATTTTCCCATCGCTTTCGCTCTTTCTCTCTCTCTCTCTCTATCTCTCTCTCTCTATCTCTCTTGTGTGTACCTTTTTTCTTCTTCTTTACTCTTTTAAACGAGAGTATGTATTGTGTATATATTTTTATTTCATTTCATTCACAAAAAACACATTGAAATTTATGGGTAATTTTGAACATAAATTTAATAGTCGTGACATTAAGCCCAAGTTAGTGCAGAGAGAGAGAGAGAGAGAGAGAGAGAGAGAGAACAAGTGAAGAAAAAAAGAGAAAAATTGTTTATTCAGACATTGTTCGACAGTTGAGTACACTTAGTCGCACACACACACACCGAAGAGCAATTAAGTGCGTTTTATTACGAAGAATCGCTTCTTTTTCCACTTTTGCTCATTACGAAATTCAGAGAAATTCAGTGCAGTTTATGTTTACAGCTGTGAACATTTGTTGGCTACTTGCCGCGTGCACAGGGCACAAACGCTTATGGCAACAGTAGATATTCATCGTTTTCGATGCTCCAGTAACCTCTTTTTATGTCACCTGAACATTTTTATGTGTAATAAATTCCAAATGCAGAAAGTGTCATGAATGCCTTTTTTCCACCTTTCTTTGTTTAAAAGAAATTGACGGAAAAAGTGCTCTACGAAATAAAAAAAGTAAATATTTTCTTTTCTCTTCATTTCGTCTGCTAAGAAGGGAATACCAGAAATTTTATATTTATTTTTCGTTTTTTGTGTGTCGTTTGAAATGCATCACAATTTTTTTTTCGGAGGAAGAAAAAAAGTTTTCGTATCCATGCATTTGCGCGGCAAAGGAGAAATGGCAATGTAACAAGCACTTGGCAAACTCAAAGTGCCGACACTCAGACGAAAATGATAATTAGGACGGTACTTTCCGGCGAGGTATTCCATCCGATTTCACTTGTGAAATAGTGGACCATCGACCTGACATGATGTGAATGATGGATATAAACGAGGACGAACACATATACACCACTCGCATTGCGAGCATAAAAATTCGAAAACAAAAACACTAAATGAACGAATGACCTAATCGAATTGGACGTTGCCTCCTCGCAAATGGGCTTCAATCGAAATCAATTTTTCTCCTTCTTAATGACGAATGTTTATTACAAACGATACAGACGCTGAATGAATTATTGACCATACTTATCCATGCTTCTGTTCACGTCTAATCTCGTTAAATCCGGAGATCGAACGAGTGAACGAAGCGAAATGGCACAGAAACAGTGAATTCAAAGAGGTGAAATTGAATGAGAGGACCAGAGAGAATGAATGAAACAATGAAAATGAGATTGGTCCGAAACAAGTTGGCGTTGGGCATGGCACAGCAACAGCGTCCAAGTGGGGCATGTTTGAGTTCGATGATATTATAAATACTGCAAGTGTAGGAATTATAAAAGTACCAAAATAGCAAATCGTTTTTTCTTATTTCGCACCAAAGTTTTATGTGTTTGAGTTTGTCTGCAAACGGAACATTTTTTCTTCTCTCGTATCAAAAGACTGCACAAATTTATATCTCATCCTGAGTAAGCATTGATTCATTCGCACATCATGTAACCGTAATTATTGCTATGTCTTCGGTTTTGTTCTGTTGTTGTTGTTGTACAATCCAAACCCACGCGGATACACTCCCACTTCAATTTGTAGGTATCTGTTATTTTTATCATTTGATGTAATCTTTTCCATAAATTTTATCTTTTTGAATTTTGGCAACATAGTAGAGAGTGGAGCATGTCGTGTATTGAAGGCATGGCAACGCGACGTTCACTTCATTAAAAATACATTATGCCACACATAAAAAAAACGAAAACACTGATTGAGAACTTACGGAAATACCATTCGTTTTCTTGGTGAAATCAAAATTATCAAGTACTAAAAGGTGCCGCAAACGATTCAGGCGGTTAAAGTAACTGCAATCGCCGAACAGGACTGTCAGATAAAATTATGCGAAAAATCGAAATGCAATTAAAATTGTTTTAATAGTAAATTTCATATTTTGTTACTTTCTACACGATAATTGAAAGTCGTAATTATCTTTATTTGCATTTGAGTATTTTTTTTTTCTCAAAATCTCTAACATCGACCATCATCAACTAATTTTTTATACATTTGAAAAATATCTGCCAAATCTTCATTGCTCGGTTCTGAATCACCATCAAATCGAAATTCTACATCTGGAAAATAGAATTCTTCATGGTTGTCAACGGACTCAAATCGGTTGAGCTGTGAAAGTATTTTATCCTCAAATGTCATGCCGTCACTGCCTTGTGCAACGAATACAACTTGATGTTGATTTTCTTTCATATCACCGTAAAAGAGCATATTTTCAACGCCAGCTATGAAAACATCATTGGGATTTGGTACGACAATCGGTTCATCTTCTTCTGATGACGTTTCATTTTTTAATGGTGGCTTGTAGTCATACATAATCGGTTCCTTCATTCGCGTTTCTGACGATGATGGTGAACTACGGTAATCATAAAAAATTGAATCGTGATCAGGAGGAGTGGTGGTAGTGGGGTTGCCGCCGACATAGTGGTGTATGTGATGAACGTGTGGGCTAGGCATAAAATGATATGCCAATACAGCTGCGTTCCAAATGTGCAAACATAGACCGTACATGACAACCAGAAAAACAGATAAAATCAATTTTAAGACAAACTCACCGATCCATTAACGATTTATAGAAATATATGTTTTGGGTGTTTTCTTCACGCAACACAATACGCACACTCATGCTCACCTGTTTGGGGATGAAAATGGCTTTGATATGGATGCGACATCGGTCGAAATTGATTGTGATCCGGTCGTTTATGGTGAAAGTTTGACTCATAATTATTACCATACGCAGCGAAACCGATGTGACTGGGTGACTGTATACCTTTGAAACTTGCAGCACTTTTTGCATTGGCTGTCGATATTGCATTGGTTTTGCTGGCACTGCTACTACGACCTTTAAACAAATTACTAAACCAACTTCCACTGCTACTGCTACTGCCACCGTTCGAATTTGTCACTTTTGTTTTGTACGGTGTTGAGACTCGGCCTCGTGTTGCACCACGGCCACGACAATCGATGCACTGCCAATGCAATGCAAATATCACAAAAAATCCAAAACACAATTTTAATAATATCGTCATTTTGACAAATGATTTTCAAATTTTGATTTGCTTCAATCGAATAATGTGCTGTTTAACAAAAAACAGCAACAGCAAAAACAAATATGAAGAAATAATGAGATTACTTTCGTCATGTTTGTATTAGCTTACATTTATTTAGTTATAATATGGAACGAGAACATTTGCTTGACTTGTATGAGTGGTGATAATCTTTGACACTTTGATGTGTTCGCTTCCATAATAAGTGACGAACATTTCTCTCTGCACACGACAGATAAGTATATTTCAGCGTAAAATGGGCTATATGATTGTCTACATTTTTACGTTTAACAGTATTTGTATATGACACACAGAGAAAAAAATATTGTATTTGAAGCCACATCACGAAAAAAAAAACGTTGCCGCAAATCCACTGGTATGTATCGAGATCCTTATTCGGATTTGTACATGTAAACCATAACGTGGTATGCATATTTGACTTGTGTGTGTGTGTGTGTGTGTGTGTGTGTTGGTTGCGATGTTTCAAATTCGTTCTATCGAAGATATTGTGTGATCATCAGTGTCAAATGGATTTGAATTTTGACTTTTTTCAGATTGATATGGAATCCAGTTTGCTCTATGTGATTCAATAATGCATCTTATTTCAGCTTCATTTTGATTTCGTATGTATTCGAGTATCTCGTCTTCGGTGGGCCCTTCATTATCATTTTCAATGAATATAATTGAACTTTCATCCGATTTTGTGCTCATCATATCAATGTACAATGCCAAATTCTCCATACGAATAAATAAATTCGAATGATTTAAATCATCAGATGGGTGACCTTCGGTAGACAAGAAATTTTTAACGGGAATTTCAATGATTAAATGCTTCAGAATTGATTCGTTACTATCAACATAAATATTCTCTTGCTGAAACGAAACTTTTTATATTTATTCATTTTTTTACATGTATAAATAATATGAACTAAAATCAAAGAGGTATTGTACATACGAGTTTTTTCTTCTTTGTTTTGTGTTTGATCAAAAATGATCTTTGACTCAACTTCTTCGCTGCAGAAAAGTTTTGAAACGCAAACGAATAAAACTGTTTTTATAAATAATTGCATTTTTTTCTTTATTTCGTCAATGACTTAATATATTAACAAGAGGAAATAAATGTTTACGAAACAAAATCGATGCAAGAATTTCAATAAACCGTAAATTCGTTCAATACAACCAAAACCGTAGGCGAAACAATTTTAAATTCTCCTAAAAGTATTCTCGTCTTTTAAAGATAATGAAAATTGTTGTTTCTTTTTTCACTGCGATTTGGATTGTATAAAATCTAACCTTGTGTATATAAAACTCAAACACCAACATGCACACGTACACGACAAAAAAAAGTACCCGTAAAGGAATTTTGACAATTTCTTTTAGTTTGACATATTTTCTTATTGAGGTGCTGGGTAAGAAGCAAGCGGAACAAGTGTCGTTGTATTTGTTGATATTGGCATCGCAGTCGATTGAATATCAGTTTTGATAGTTGTTGTTGATGTTGTATTGACATTTGTTGTCATTGGAATAGAAATGGTCGTTTGTTCGACTGATGTCAAATTTGATTGATTTTCATTTATACTTGTTGCATTTGGATACCATAATGAGTACATTGGATCCCATGGATATGGATCCTCGCCGTCAGCATCTTGTTCCATAATTATTGTAATATCTTGTTCATCTTGGAATTCGCCATACATCAACATATTCTCAACGCCAACAATTAAATACGGATTGGTAAATATAATTTCCGTTGAATCGGCATCATCGCTACTGGTTCGACCAGATACGCTGTAAACAAGCGGTGCCATTGGTTGTGTTGGATCTTTGATGGTACTTTGATTTTGTTTGGGTTGCATATTTTGATTGGAGTCGCCGTTATTTGGATTATTTCTGTTACCGTTATTATTATAATTGTTGCCATTTTGCCAGTTGTTGTTGCCATTGCCGTTGCCATCATGATGATGATAAATATGATGCGTACTCGGATAGCCATAGTAATCGTGGTAATGATGATGATGACCCAAACTGCTACCGAGAGCCAAACCAAGTCCAAATGAACTAACTGGTGAGTACGATGGGTAGGGTGAATAATAGGCTGGATAACTGTGATAAGTTGTAAAATGATAGCCCACGCTTGCTAAAAAAATATAAATTACATATATAATAATTTAAACGCACACCAAATATTACGTTATTACGATTAACTTACGAGTGCTGAACGATTGATAGCCCGGATTGTAATGCGTTTGATGATTAAGTGTTACGAAATTGTTCGTTACATGGTGTGGTTGATTTGGTTGCGGATGATACGATGTAGATTGGGTTTGATGGTGTTGTTGTCCTGGATAATTGGTATGACCAACATTTCCATAATTTTGTGGGCTAGATGATGTTTGCCCAATTTTAGTGGCCGTTACTGATGGTGCCCATCCATATGAATGACCCGATTTTCCATAACCAGAGTGCGTATTTTGCTGTAAAAAAAAGTGTTTTTTTATTTTTTAACGCCAAAAAAAAAAAAAATTTAAATATGTATTAGAAACCATTTTTACTTACACTCATTCCGTGTCCAGATGGAGAGTTGCTACTTCCCCCAGTATTTTTTTGTGTAAACCATCCCGCCTGTGCTGCAGGGGGTGCTGATGGCAAATGTGGTGCGCTAGGTGTATGGTGACCAGTTTGTATAGGAGTATGGTGACCAGTTTGTAGAGGAGTATGGTGACCAGTTCGTAGAGGAAAATGATGACCAGTTTGTAGAGGAGTAGTTTGTGTTCTTCCAACATAATTTTGATTATATGGTGTGTAATGTGCACGACTATTTTCCGAACCGAAGGTATGACTACCACCACTATGTCCATAATTATGAGAATTGGTGTTGGATGTGTGATGAGTTATTGGCGATGAATACGGATTGTGGGTCGGGCTCGGCGATGATTTTGGTTTTGATGAACCGAATATCGAACTGAAAAAGCCACCAGAAGATTTTCCTTTTCCACCACCAGTATATTTTCCTCTTCCGCCACCACCTTTTCTCGCATCCGATATAACAATCGACGCACAAATAACAATTAGCACAAACGTCACTAGTTTTGGTTTCATTTTCGATATTTTTTTTTCCGCCTCAATGATTTTGAAAGCTGTAAAGTGTTTTTGTGAAAAACTTTATAATATTTAAATCACGATTAAATTTGGTTTTCGGATCGATGCGTTCATTTGAAAGTCAAAATTATAAATGACACAAAATAAATATTAAAATTCGATTCGACTCAGGCATGTAAAACCTTATCAAGACTCTCTCTCTCTCTCTCTCCTCTCGTCTCAAATGATTTTTAAGTGTACACTCGAATGCTACATGAAAATCTAAAGTGATAAACACACATAATTCCATGCATTGATATATTTTTTTGCCTAGACACATACACATCGAATCATTTTATTCTACACTGTTTCTATTTTACAGTAATATTGTATTATGATTTTTGCTCCATTGATAACATGTCCGACTTGGTTACACTTCAACGTCAATAATAATTATTATCAATGACCAATTCAATGCGCAAATTATGATGTTTCAACGGCGACACATCCAAAAAACTTGATTCGACACATCATAAAGAAAAATAACCACACTATCGTCACAAGGTGAGAATTATATTTTTGTTTTCTTTGGATTTTTCTCCATCCATTTCTGTGATTAAAGAAATGATTGTAATCATTTCGTTGCGCAGCATGTAACCGCAAAAAAAAACATTTCAAATAAAAATATTGCTGAAATGCAAAAGCGAACGCTGCTTTATAATAATAATAATACAAAATTTATTATACAGTATGCGGTCCATTCAAAGAAAATAGGTACATTACATTTTCCATTATTCCAGGCTGTATATCAACGTGCAACCAAAGTCATAATAATAATAACAACAAGTACACAGCAGCAACGAATCTTGAAACGTGAACTATTAAAAAGGGAACATGAAATAAAAACAAACGGCAATGCAAATAAATCGCATTACATTCGTGGAGTACACATTTTGATGCGAAAAATAGCGGACTGTCTTGTTTTATGCCTTCGCCTTCGTGTCCAAGCATCTTGAGTTAAACAAAAAAAAAGGTGAAAAAGGCAAGTCTCTGGTTTCTTTGCCAATTTCAATAGTCTCGTATGCATTTGTTCAAAAGAACGAAGTGCGAGCCGCGTTCATTCAAACTGAATCACAAGCATGCAGAAGTAAGAAAGAAACTCACACACACAAACAACAACAACAACTTTATAGGTAAAACAATCAGCATGGCACCAATATTAATAATAGTAATCATCATAATAAAAACCGTACTTGCCATGGTTACTAAATGGCAAAAACCGCGCACATTCTTTTACCCGGGATCGGATGACGTGAGGATGCCCGTGTAAAGCCAAAACCAGCATCCAAAGCGTGCATTAAGTAAAAGGGAGAGAGGTGGGAAAGAAAAGCAGAAAGCAGCCACATAAAAAATGAACGCATAATGGTGAAACGAAAGAATATTACATATATTTCATAAAGGAAATGAATTTTCTTTATAAATTTCAAAAAAAAAAAAAATTGAAACGGTTTCTCCTTTCTCTACCTGCAGCTTTTTTTCTTCCATTTTTCCAAAGTCTATTTCAATCGTGTAACATTTTCTTCAACCATTCTCATTACCAAGAGAGAGAGAGAGAGAGAGAGAGAGAGAGAGAGAGCTGTGCAGAGCCATCGTCTTAATCTTTTGATTTTTTTTTATCCTGCTGCCAGCTTGTTTATATACATTCACTCTATCTTACACATACACCGTTTTTTTATTTCTCATTTGGAATGTTCCGTATTTCTTTTTTTTTTCGTTTGTTCTTTAAGTCAAGGTTTTTTTTTAAGAATCTAACTATTCGGAGATGGTCCATGAAAAAGCATCGCTTCGATGGGACAAAACTAATGGCTGCATGACACTAATGAAAAATTGTTGCTTCACATTACTAAATTCGAAATAAAATATATATTAAAATAAATTCATCGTCAATTGCTTCTTGCCTTTGAATTTATATATTCAGATATGTACACATTTATCACATTGGATCATCATACAGAGAATGGTTGGTAAAAAATAAATAAAAATGTTATGTGTTTAAATTGCAATGTTGTATTATTATTATTTATGACCTATTCCTTGTCAATATATTTCAGAGCATTCTAAATTATTGAACGAGTGCAAATTAAATTTCCTGTTGAATAAACTCGGTGTTGATGCCTATTAATTTCACTTATTTTTATGTTATTCCATTAATTTATATTGTTGTTGAAGCACTTTCTTTTTCTATTTTATTGTCAAACCTTTCGTCGGTTTTATTTTAATTGACATTTTTGTTGATTGGAATCGACATAAAAAGCGTTGTTTTATATACTACAATACATTGTATGTGTGTGAATCATTGCGACAGCAAAAGTTGCTCTTATTTTGTTTCAGGCAACAGTTCAACGTTAGTTCAGTCCAGGTCTTTTTTGTTCTTTTCACACCGATTACATCTAGGGGCTTAATACGGCAAAAAAATTTACAGGAAATCACGTAAATTCACACTTTTGAATCGAGTGGTTATTGATGAGTTCGGTGAATGAATGTGTCAAAGTAATAAAGTGAGGTTATGATAACCGCAATATTTTTTAATTTATTATTTTTTCCAATATTTCCGATTGTTTTCGATAGAAAATCGCTCAAAATTGAAAATAAAATTAATTTTTATTAAAAAAATATAAAAAACATTTACAATTTCGTTACACAAAATATAAATATTGCAGTGATTGCCAGCAGAAACTATTCACCACTCCCATATGAAACCTCAACGCTATGCGCGTCAAATCGACGTTATTCGACGCTATTCCATGTGTATATAGAATATTACATTATGTTTTACAGTGCTGTGCAAACGCAAGCATGCGGCCTTATACACAGTAACACACGAACTCCGTTTATGTGCGCGCGTTGCCTGTTATGTTTTGTTTATTGAATTGCGACTCAATCACAGTAGACGGCGCAGGCACTGTAAAATTTACAATTCTATATACACATAGAATAGCGTCGAATAACGTCGATTTGACGCGCATAGCGTTAAGGTTCCATATGGGCTATCTCACATATTTGAATGAAATGGCCGTAGAATTCACTGGAATTCATTCGTTTGCTGAAAAATTCAGTTAATTTAGATATTATTATAGAATTCAGTCGTTGAAATTTTGAATTAAGCCCCTTAACATTATCACATCTATGGAGAAAAAAAACTTCACGTTGAAATATTATCTGCATCAAAATCAGAGGATTTTTTTTTATCGCAACGATTCAAGAGAGTGTTCTTGTTTTAGCTATCTCCAAAAATGCATGCATGTTTTTTCAGCGCTACTTTTTTTTTATTCAAAACCTTAATTGACCAAATATATTTGGTATTATATTTGTTGTTCTGTACACAATGTACAGTTCATACACATGACACCTTTTGTCGATGCTCTTGCGCATTTATACTGTTGAAAAAAAAAACGGTTCATTATTTTCATTTCGATAAATTTCGGATGCACATATGAATATACATTTCGATTTTTTTTTTGCTTTGTTTTCGCTTGGACACCTACTAGTGTAGTTTGCATACAAAGGTTCATATCGAACGGACCGTGTTTTCGTCCGCATTTTTTTGGTATATATATTTCGAATATTAGTGTGTTTTTAATTGACATGATGTCGTGATTACAAATGATTGCAAATATTTTGCTCTTGAATGAAATGCAAGGAAAAATGGTCTATCACCTCTATTGAAAACTGTTCGAATGATAGTTGCCATAGATTTGATGCAATATAATTATAATTTCTATGGAATTCATGAGTTGTTTACTTGTCACATAAATGGCAAATTGCAGTTTTGTATTCGTTGACAGCCAATTTTATTCATGTTTATATAGTGGATTCGTGACCACACGGTCCAAATTGAAAATATTCCATTAGGTATGTATTGCCTTGTCTCTTCGATTCAAATTCATGCAATTTATAAAGTGTGTTTCGCAAAGTATTTTGAATATTTTTCCAAACCCAGCAGAGAAATTCGGGTAGAAAAAAATGAATTTTGCGTTTGTGAAAGCTAGCATGATGTTTCATATAATTTAAGCAATTAAACTCTCCAAAATTGAAATGCTTGAATAGAATACACACACGCTCTTATTCGATGTTTTTTTCTTTACATTTATTTAAATAAATGTTTCAATCATTTCAAACGAAAAACAGAAAAAAATATTTTTATTGCACATAAAATGGATGCACAATCATTGTGCTGGTGGTGTGTATAACATTGAATCGCATACAAATAAACCGGTTCATTTGTTCGCGATGCTGGCGCATTTTTTTCTTCTCTTTTTTTGTTGTTGTCATAATAGTGGTGTTTTGTATCGCACGCTAAACATACAAAACCGGAGAATAGCAAAAAAGCACCAACGAATAGAGAATAAATAAATGTGTGATGCAGCATAAAAGCGCACAACAACACAGAGGATGAGAAACGTTTTTAATTAGTTTTTAAAAGCAATGTGTGTTTGTCTGATCATTTATTGTATGCTGTTACAGTGCTCAATGATAAAGCTGCCTTTCAATTGACTGCATATACTTTTCAACACTTTTGTTTCATCAAATTTAATCAAACGTATGCTCTTTATTCTAGTGAAAAATGGTGTTCGTCTAGCATCGATGAAATATGATCAAACCGAAGATAAAAAAACACACACACACGTTTCGGATATAAGTTCGATGGTTGATACATACATTCAATTTTGTACCGACATGGCATTTCCGTAACTTCTGTTGCGAATGGTATTCGCATTACATGTATGGTATTCAATTTTTTTTTATTGTCATCTTCGTACGATATGAAGTTTTCATTATAAAACTCATGGTAGGTGCCATTCATCTTTTAACTTTCGTTCGAAAAGCGAAAACAAAAATAATTCCCAAAAGATTGTGCCTTCGATCGAAAGCTGTTCTTTTCAACTCATGCGTCTCATTTTTATGTGCATTGTTTTCAAAACTTTTAATTACATTTAACCCTTAACCGGGCAGGTCAAAATCCTAACGTTATCGGGCAAGTGGGGCCTCTGAGGCCCGACGTACATTTTCCATGCAAATTCAATGAAATTTTTTTTTTTTTTTTGTTTTCAAATATTGAATTTTTACGACGAAAATTATTGTTTTAACATAATAGATATTGAATTAAATATGTTTTTTGTAAAATATAACTGAAAAAATGAAAAAATAATCAATATTCATTACGAATCGGAAATTTTGCACTTCATTTTAAAAAATTTGATGACATTTTGTATGGAAAATGTACGTCCGGTAGTTGTTCAAACCTCAATACAGCGCTACTTAGGGAACCAAATTCAAAACAACTTTTATCAACGATTAGAAGAAGGATGAAATAATATATTACAAAACAATTTGTTTGATTAAAATAATATTTTATGCGATTTTATGTATCTTTTCTTTTAAAAAATGCGCTACCGGGCCTATGAGACCCGACTTGCCCGGTTAAGGGTTAAAATTAATCGTTAGTTTAGTAAATGATATACACTAAACATGGCCTGTATTTTAAAAACAGATTTGTTAGATTAATACCAGCCATGTCAATCCAAGCGCCATCTATTTCACCTATTTTTCACGCATCTGGAACTAAAATCGCAAATTCGCTGGGTTTCAAACGCAACAATCATCGTATATCGTTTAAATATAGTAGCTACGCTGGCATAGTTTATGCATTGCTAAATATATACTTTATTTTAATAGGTGCGCTCGACCCAGTGCAAAAAAGTAACGCATTTTTGCGGTCAGTTCGGATTAGCTGTTCATGTTAACATATCAACAATTGAGCTTTTTTCTCTGGTGTTTTTAAGCTTCAGCTCATTTGAATTCGGGGTTTTCAACACAATTAATTCCAATTTTTACACTCAAAGGTTTTAATTTGTTATGTAATGATCACACAATTAAACGGATTATTCCAAAGATGGGATTATTTAATGCAAATTTTACATTTGGCAAACGAAAAATAATAATGTAAACATAGTGCGCGAATGGAAGAGATGTTTTTTTTTTTGTATTCCATTAAAATATGCAACTCAATATGGACTTGTGGTTTGTCTGATTAACTCACGGATTTCTTCTGTTTTCGTAAATTTTGCTTAAAAACAACGACATGTATAATGTTGAATATTTGTATAAAAAAAGATCAAAAGCGGTATCTAATTTATGCATGCAGGAAAAGTGGCTTTCTTCTAATTGTCGTATGGATGGTATTCACCAGGCTGAACCGTTCAAAATGCCTTTCAAACTCGTCAAAGTCATAATCCACTCCACATTTAAAAAACAACCGACATTCCAACGTGTTGTTGACAAAGTTGTTTACGTATAATTTTTGATTAATTTTCGGAATCGCAGGCGATTGGAAATATTTTGGGCGCGTTCGAGATAACATTTGGCTTTTGAAATCTATTCGAAGAAAAATAACGATTTAAATACCGAATCAATATGGTTTTGGCGACAGACGACAATTTACTTTCTAGCGTGCGCAACTTGCTAACATCGCGAAGAAAATGTGTTCGTCAAAACTTTTTATTATTATTTCGTTTTTCGTTTATTCCAATTGTCTTCCACCGGAACGCATTTCCGACAACAACGAAATGAGAAATAAAAACTACATTTTGCAAGTAGATCAAAAAGTGTTTCAACATCACGCGATGTCGTGTGGTCCAACCGTAACGGCGGCCGTTTTGCAACATTTTGGTATGTTTTCAATAAAAAATATATTTTTTTTTACAATTAATTTACATTTATATGCCAATAGGTGGCAATGCACAACTCGCATGCGAAAACGATTTGATTTCCGACGTTGAGACGGCCTTTGTTGACGATCCAACTCTTTTCAGAGGTTCGCGAATAAATTTTTATTTGTTTGAATTTTCTAAATTGATATTTTTTTCCCATATCGCACGCAAGCTGGAAGCGGCATAGGAAACGTTCTCGACATATTGAATCTCTACATTCGCGCATACGAATTGAATTCTCAGCGATTTTACCAATCCGTGGAAATAACTAGTGTGGTGGATTATCTGTTTTTTAGTAGATTAGTCTACAACAGTTTAATAAATAATTCTCCCGTTTTATTGGCCTTTGACGGTCAATTGACAGAAAATTCGCCGCGCATTGCACATTTCATATTGATTCACGGTATTACTACTGACGATGACAGCGCTACTTTTTATTATATGGATCCGGACGGCGGCACGTTGGGATATTTTACGAATGCCAATTTCAGGCACATGTTCCAGGGCACCAGTTATCTCTTGTTTCATTCCAGAAATACGGAGGCACCGAATCAACCTCAGCCTCAAGCCTGGCCGTGGGTCAACGTCTCTCCGGAACATTTTCAAGACGAGGTGGAAAATTTGTGCGATAATTTTTTCGCCTCGGTTTCGTTGCACTCGCGACATTTTCTACGTAAAAAACGACACGACGCGGGAACAAATAACGCATTTGAAATACAGCGCGGCCATTGGCGTGATTTTTATAGAATTCTTTTTCCATACACCGTGGCCGGGAGATGGTTTATGTATGGTCAAAATATAGCGAAAAAAGGCGAAAAGAATTGGTTCATTCAGGAAATACGACACGATGGCACATTGGGCGACGAGACAGTCCACGGCAATTGGAATAAAATATACGAAGTTCAATTTCCGTTCTCTATCGGCGGCCGAACATTTTTTTACGGCCAAACTAAGAATGGCAACAATTATTTCATACAGGAATTGAAAGCTGATGGTACAATGGGTGACGAAACCTGTTACAGTAATTGGAACGAATTCTATCAAGTGCAATTTCCATTTTCGATTGATAATCGTCATTACCTGTACGGTCAGAGCATAGTCAATGGGAGGAATTGGTTCATACAGGAATTAAAAGCCGATGGCACGATTGGCAAGGAAACGGCTCACGATTTTTTGGACGCCAATTACGAGATACAGTGCCCGTTTTCCGTTAACGGCAAGCAATTTTTTTACGGTCAAAGTTTGCGAAACGATCGCAAGTATTTCATAAAAGAATTGCTGGCCGGTGGAAAGGTGGGTTCTGTCGTCGGACAGGGCTCGTGGAAATACAATAGCGATCATTACGACGACGTCTTGTCGTCACATTCGTCGCTTTTCCAATATTCCATCGACGGTGTCACATTTTCTTTCGAGCAATACGTCAATAAAACCTGGGTCGTTCGCGAACTCAAACACTAAGTTAAATTAATTTTGTTTTTGAAAAAAAAAATCAATAAACATCCAAATTAAATTTTTGTATTTATTAATATTATTATTTTAGTGATGTGTGGTATGACACGAACAAGTTACATCCACGTAAAATTGGGTAGGTATTACCGATAGAAAATCATGAGAAGTACGAATGTTTTTGAAACACACAAGCGTCCTCTGAGTAGTCCTCTTCACATATATAGCTCATAGATATAGACCTCAAATTGACTACCCATCCGAAATGTTCAATATGGTGAACAACGTAGAAGGGAGTTTTTATCTCGACAACCATTGACGGAAGATTTTTTGGAGTTTGCTATTTGATACTTTAACGAGTGTTGAAATAAGCCAAACTTGAGTTATACGAAATAATTTCTCTACAAATAGTCTCAGCGTAAGAGAAAGAAAAAAATGCATGACGCCATTGGATGATGCTTTATTGAAGTGAAAAGTGCAAATAAATCATATAACATAAATAAGCATTTATGGATATGACATTTGGGTGCAATATTTTTTCCGCGTTTCACTTCTTATTTTCAGAATGGTTTTTTATTGCGCGTCACATATCCACATAATGTTTCAGAAAGCATCATAAAAATAAATCAAAATCAATATCGTTTACTTTTATAACCGATGAAAACATATTTTACCACTATAATTACTTTAGAGATAAAAGGCATTAAAATTCTCCTCTTTTTTTTCTCTCCCGATCTTTCTCCTTCAATCTCTCTCTCTCTCACATCCTCTTACGCACACTTTCAAATTAAATAAATTTGTTTTTATCAATCGAAAAAATACCGGCAAATAAATTTACGTTTCTGCTTCAAATTTACGATGAATTTATGCATCCAAAAATTCTTTCAATATTTTCGACGTTCCTCAAGAAGCTCGATTTATTGTTTCTCTAATGCATGATAACAATCAGCATTCATATCTTGAAATATGACGCATATTTTCAAAAATTAAATTTTTTCTTCTTTCTCTTTTTTTTGCATTCAATTATTTGTTCCTTCACGCAAGCAACAGAGCGTCAGTATCAGTAATTTAATTGCGACATTTGATATGGATTTTCAGTATATTTTGGACCAAACTTTGAGTTGAAAAAAGTGATTTTATCGCTATCTATCCCTGAGTTCATAAGCGCTGATTTTTATGATTTGGGAACCAAATAAAAGCCAAAGTCAGAAACCAGGGTTCGAGGGGTCTGATATGTCACAACCGCATTGCATTTTTGCCAAAGTTTTTTGGAATTGTGTTGAAATTTGTCAGAATAAATGCCCCAAATTTAATTTTTTTTTTTAATTATGAGTTAGTTTATTAAACACATTGACTATTAATTTATTTAAGTATGAAACCATCGTATTAAATTCCTATTTCTAACATACATGTTTCTTCATTAAACTTAGTTTAACATCATTAATTTAGATTCAAAAATCTTTATTTAACAATCTTGCATACGAATATTTGTTTGGACAATGGTATGTTCATAAAAGGGGAAAAACAACAATGACGTTATAGCATCAGTAACAACATAAAAGCAGCCATGTAACCATGTAGCTTTCAAAATCCTTGGCTATATCCCCAAGGAAGTGTTTTGCAACAAAAACACATTTTGTAGCTTGCTTAACGCAGCATATATATTCTACAATGGACTTTGTAAACACAATACATATACTTGTCGGATTTTGTTCCTCTCTGAGACTTTTTTTGTCCAATGCCATAATTTGTAATTTCAATTCCATAAATATACACTATTTGTTTGTTTTTCAACCTGATGTCAAACATGTTCATGGCATTAATTTCTTGAAATGATCAAATCTCTTTGTTGGGCGTAAATTATTTGAAAGTTCATATCAATAATGATGCGCTTGATAAAAATCAACGGAATTTAAACCGATTCAATCATATATTTTTTTGTATAGCTAACAATCAATAGACAAATGTGATAAACCGGAGCGATACACAAGCAGTGAATTGCTTTTTGAACTTATTTGTGGATGCTTGGTTTGCTTATATGTGCAAACTATGTAGGACAGCGTAGCATAAACATTCGATATGTTGTATAATTTATTTCGCTTCAACTTTCTTCCTTTATTTCTTTCGGTTTTACCGATAATGTTAGCTGTTGCTGTTAATGCAATTCCTCAATAGCACTGGCATCCTATAAATCCAAACAGACAAAAGCTTCTTCGATCGCTTTTTCACACTCTGGCTCAAATCCAAAGCAAAGAACAAAACAAAAAAACACAGGAAAATGGAAAACCAGCCGACAATAGTAATGGCAGCTGCAAAATCCTGTTAAACAACAGCTAACAATTGCTGTGCTGGCAGCAGAGATGCAATCATACATACATACACCAAGGAAAAATGGAGCAAGAGAATATTTCAAACTCGGTTTTTTTGTTCTATATGCATACGCACACACTGCAAAACTACATATGCATATGCTGTGCAATTCGAGAGCACCAAATACGTTTTTCAAAATACAATTTTGTCGTGCATTTGTTTATCGTACACCTATTCATTTGGTTTCGTTTATTTTACACTACAACATTTTAAGCATCTTTGTGCCTCTATCACTCTGCTCTGCTCTTCGGTCGTCGTCGTTGTTGTTATCGTCGTTATTGTCGTCTGCCGTTTTGATGTTGTCTTGCTGAATATGCAAGTGCATTGTCTGTTTTCACACATACCGATAATGAATTCGATGCAACGTTATGTATGTATGTTGAACATTTTGTCGTTATTGATGTTGCTTTGTACTTTTTGCAATACTCGCTATTGTTGTTGATGATCATACGAAGAAGAAAATCAAATGCAGACAACTATCAAGGCGTTTTACAATTAATACAAAATTTATATGAACTCAAGTTTTCGTCAATAAATTTTAAATGGAACATTTAATTTAATAGAAGCAATAGTGAATTACATGCAATTTGCATTAGACAAACAGCTTACGACGAAATACCGATACGGCAAAACGATACAAAATGAATACGGATGGTATTTGGAAAAACAGCGACATTAAGAAAGCTGAATCGAGCATTGAGCACACGAATTTAGGGACACACACAGCACACATTGACTCCGTTGTAAGCTTACTACGAATTTGTTGTGCAAAATGCGGACAAACAAATCGAAAAAATATGTATGTTTTACAGTAAATTGATTCAATTTGATGATAACATTAAATTGTTCACAACGAAATGCACTTTAAGCTTACGACAGATCAAATTGAGCTCGAAAAATACAATACCATATCTATATATACATAGAAATGTACGAGTATAATTGATCTATTGAGTAATCGGTTCAGTTATTCATAAATTGAATTCAAAACTATTTCGTTGGTCATAAATTGGTCAGTGAAATTGATGCAAATGCACAAATCTCGTCCAACCGAACTAAGTTTCATGTCTACACGACTTCTTGTTAACCACGGATCTGCCAGAGAAATCTGACGAAAACCCCATTCATTGCAAATGACACATATGTGCGATACATTGACCACATGAACATGGCTTTTGTACGAATTTCCTGTACGTCATTTCAACTGAAATTCATCATACCAAACACACATCTATGCATACAAACATTTACATGCAAAGAATATAAACATTCAATTTTGGCAACAGAACATTTTCAAATCGAAACTTTAAGTGGTCATATAGAAAATTCGGTGCAATGTAGCTCATGTTTTCCTATGTATTTCTTTGTATCGACATTTCGAAATAAATATATTTGTATATGTGTGTGTTTGAAGAAATTATTGACACGATCGTTCACCGAACAGTTTCACATCTTTGTTTATATTTTAATTTTGACAAATGTTCCAAGAGACACAGAAAATGAAAGAGGGGATAAAACATTTAATTTATTATCACGATGGCTTTTTTTTTATTGTTGCTTAAATTGGATTAGCCCAATGACACTGATATACATAAATTCATGTTTTACTTCTCGCACAACTTCTTCCATTTCAATACAAATGTTCGGCTAGAAATATTCTAATTGATATTGTTATGGTATATGACTATTTGACATCAATTGAAAATTGATAAATGGCAAATATATTCGACAACTGTACAAACTGTACAATTCGCTTACACGTTGCTGTTGACTATCGTTATTTCACTTAGCCAAATGGAAATTTTTTGGGAAAATCTTTCTTTGCAAAATACATTTATCTCTTGAAAATCAAACAAAATGAATTGGAGCGAAGCAACTTTTGGAGGGTTTTTTTCTCTCTCTCTCTCTTCTGTTCTTGTTGTTGTTTAAATAATTATTATTCTTTTGTTTGTGTTTTTGATTTGTTTCTGGTTGTCGGTTAAGGCCTTAAGCGCAAGAACAAAGCAAAAATAATCACAGTCGTTTATAAAATCAGCGCCATCGAATGTTCGCAACTGAGAATGGAAACAATAGCAATAATAATTATGCCCGTCAGTCAAAAAGGGCGAAGCAAAAAGTAAAACAACAACAACTGCAAATGAATACGAAATGAAATGGTCATTTTTTTGTCTATCTTTCGCTCTCTCTCCCTCCCTCTCTCATACACATATACATACACACATACAATCTGTTCCGTTTGTCTTTTTCATTTTCGTTTCGTTTGCCGTTTTGTTGTGTTTGTATGTGCAATTTTGTCGCGCAGCACTCATTTACGCTTTGTGTATACTTTGGTTTTGTCGTTGTTTTTCGTCTTTTGGTTTTGTCACTTCGAAGACATTTTCATTATTAGTATTTGACATTTATCTGTACATTTTGATGTGCGTAAGACCATACGACTGACACAAAACTGCACGAATATTTTGAGAGTTGAAAGTGATGGTGATGAGAGCCAGTCTCCCTATCAACACAATCGCCACTGTTGTAAATCCATTAATTATTATGACAGACATATTTGGGTTCAGGCTCACGTCCCTGCTTCTCAACAATTTTGGCATTTCGTATGGTATTGTTGTAACGACGATGACAACAACAATAACAACAAGCAGTGGCAATGATGATGATGACGACAACGACAAGGACAACAAAATACACAAACACTTTACCATTCAAA